ACACTTTGACCTCTGCATTCTGAATATGTTTCTTTGGTTGGAGATAATATTTTTCTGTATCTATGGACATTTGACATCTCAAAAACAATTTATGTGCTTCTAAAACCCAAATTGGAAGTGGTGGAGGATTGATAGTCTCATTCTGAAGACGTAAAAATGCTGCTACCGGTCTAAAGAAAGCTGGTAATCCAAAAAGGCTAATTCTGTTAGGTTTCTAGGCCTCCAACTGATTATCTGTGGCTCAGTGTGTCTCCTGCTTCACTTTCTCAGCCTACCTGAGGTCATCCTCTCCCTCTAACTGAAGAAGGAGGCACACCTTCTGGAATTTTGGAGGCAACCCCACCCTCTGGAACAAAAGAGGCAGTGACTTCCTCTAACAGGCTCACACTACCATGTTGGCAAGAACAACCATTTTGAGTTCCTCAACAGTATTGTTAACCTCCAAGTCATCAATGGAACTTATTACTCTACTTTCCTGAAGGACTAATACATGTTCACAGCTAAATAGCTTTCTTCATCACCATCGTGCTGTAGAGTCTCAAAAGTCTAAGAACCTCCTTTTGTTGAGTCTTGTACCTGAGGTTTTCAGGCCATGGTGGCAGTATTCTGCTGAGATAGCTAATTTGAACTTCATACTGAATCTATTTAGAAGAAGTTTGTCTATCCTTACTATGGGCATGCATTGCAGAGTGCACAACTTTGTGCTTGACATATGGATAGGTTGAGAAAGGATATGTTGTGAAGTTTCCAAATTTTCATATTCTGGGAACTTTTTATTTCATAGATCATTTGTGAGCTGAATAGTAACCTTACCCCAAACTCATATGTCGAAGCTTCAGCCCCCAATGTGACTATGCTTAGAAATAAGACTTGAAAGATGTGATTAAGATCAAATGGATCCATAATGGCAAGGACCAAATATAGTAGGGCTAATAGCCTCATGAGAAAAAATAAGAAAGTGGTCTTTCTTTCTTCATATGTTAACTAAGAGCCACGTGAGCAGATAATGAGAACGTGACCATATTTAAGCCAGGAAAAAAGCCCTTAGGAACTACATTGGTTGACAGTTTGCTCTTGAAGTTCCCCATCTCCAAACAATGAGAAAATAAATTTTTGTTGTTTAAGCCATCTGGTCTTGTGTACTGTGCTATGGAAAGCCAAGTGAACTAAAAACTATTCCAACAGCTGGGTAAGGGGAGGTTCATGCCTTTAATTTCAGCACTCAAGAGGTAGAGGCAGGCAGATCTCTGAGTTCGAGGACACCAGCCTGGTTTACAGAGAGAGAGAGAGAGAGAGAAAGAGAGAATGATCCAGAACAACCAGGGCCACACAGAGAAACCCTATCTCAAAAAACAAAAAACAAACTAACCAACCAACCAATCAACCAAACATAAAACCCCAAACAAACAAACAATAAAATAGTTCCCATGGCAATTTATCTGTTTCCTGTTACATTTTCTATAAGCAACAGAAAGAAACCAGACTGCACCTTCATACTTTGCTTGGAAGTTTTGTCAGCTAAAGGTTCATATTTATCATCTGAACACTCTACTGTTCATTCAACAGCATAGTGAAATGGTTCTCATCCACTCTAAAAAGTGTAACCTTTCTGTCAGTTTTTTATACTGTTTCTTGTTTCTATCAGAGACTGTACCAGAAGTAGTTCGTAATTCTAACAACATTCTACTAACGGCAATGTAGTCTTTTAAATATCATATGTATCAAAGACCACAGTGTTTACATAATGTACAACTGTAAGACCAGTCCCATATTTTTAGTATTTGATACATAAACATTTACATCCTAATTCCAAAATCTATATTCATTTCCCAACATTACTGTAACAGACAAAAATGAGTGGACTGAAAGGAACAGCAGTGATTTATTCTCTCCTATTTATTTTTTAATTTTTTATTTATTTCAATTCATCTCTCCTATTTCTACAAGGTAGAGATTTTGATTTGAGATCCTGATAAGGTCAGAGTGTCTCTGAAGGCTCTAGAAAGAATTCTTTCTTTGCTTCTTCCTACAGTCTGGTGATTACATACAAACCTTGATATTTCTTAGCTTACAGGTGCATTATTGAGTCTATCCCTGCTGCCACATAATGTTCTCTCCTGGTGTCTGTGTACTCTATATTATCACAAGATGTTCTATTCTCTGATTACACGTTTTTCCATATTTTCTTATAAAGACAACAATCCTTGAACTAAGTCCCTCTTGATTACATCTGTTAAGATAGTGTTTCCCAATAAAGTCACATTCTCAGGTACCAAATTTTAGAGACTTAAACATGTTTGGGAGGGCATACAATTCAAATGATCACATGAACTAATCCAGGATTGGATGCCTCAGACTTTCCTAACAGAATAGAATGAATATGAAGAAAAAAATTCAGTTTCCTTAACAACTGAACACACACAATAGCCATTAAATATTTATTCCTTCATAGTTAATTAATAATCCAAATACCCAGGTAGAGTTCTTCATTTCTTCTACTTGGACTTATAGAGCTTTGTACATTCTTTTTTTCTATTTTTAATTTTTTATAGTAATTACAGTTTATTCACTTTGTATTCGAGCTGTAGCACCTTCCCTCAGTCCCTCCCAACCCCGCCCTCCCTCCCTCATCTCCTCCCATGACCCTCTCCAAGTCCATTGAGGAGGTCCTCTTCCCCCTACATCCTACCCTAGTCTATCAGGTCTCATCAGGACTGGCTGCATTGTCTTCCTCTGGGCCTGATAAGGCTGCTCTTCCATCAGGGGGAGGTGATCAAAGAGCCAGCCACTGAGTTCATGTCAGAGACAGTCCCTGTTCCCCTTACTAATGAACCGACTTGGAGACTGAGCTGCCATCTGTGCAGGAGTTCTAGGTTATCTCCATGCATGGTCCTTGGTTGGAGTATCAGTCTCAGAAATTATCCCTGAGCCCAGATTTCTTGGTTCTGTTGCTCTCCTTGTGGTACTTCTGTCCCTTCCAGGTCTTTCTATCTCCCTCTTCTTTCATAAGATTCTGTGCACTCTGCCTGAAGTTTGGCTATAAGTCTCAGCATCTGCTTTGATACCGTATTAGGTAGTCTTTCAGAGGCCCTCTGTGGTAGGCTCCTGTCCTGTTCTCTGTTTTCTCCCTCTTCCGATGTCCAACCTGTTTGCCTTTCTGAATGAGGACTGATCATCTTACCGAGGGTCCTCCTTCTTGCTTAGCTTCTTTAGGTGTACAGATTTTAGTATGTCTATCCTATATTATATGTCTAATATCCACTTATAAGTGAGCATATACCATGTGTGTCTTTCTTCTTCTGGGATACCTCACTCAGGATGATCTTTTCAGATTTCACCATTTGCCCACAAATTAAAAAAAAAAAAAAAAACTTTTTCCCACCATAAAATGACTATATTTGAGAATGTTCCCTCCAGCAAATTGAATTCCTTGATATCTGTGCCTTATCTCTGTCACTTCACTGCTTACTATGTTACATGACATATAGTTATAGGTTCCTTGGAATTTGGAGGGAAGAGAAAAAAAAGGAAAGAAGAAAGATGTTTTAGTTATAGCCAGAAGCCTTGGGAATAGAAAGGAGCTGTGAGCTCAGAGTTCCAATATCAAGACTCTCTGCCTTCTATTCTGATGTACCTAGGCTTAGAGCTTTACAGGGTGTCAGTATACAATAAAATTTAATCACAAAGAAATTCTAAATTGTTAGTTCATCAGAGTAGCCTTTTCTACTTAAAAAAAAAAACCTTCTGATTCAGTCCAACAGTAGTTTACTACATAACCGGCATGCCCATGGGGAATAAAGATCAGAGAGTACTATGTGTAGACTATGTCTTGGATGGGTAATTCCAGGAAATGGATTAAGTTTGAACCTAAGTTTGACCCCTCATGATCAACCTCTTTAATGGACTGCTGTCCACTTACATTTGGGAAAATGTACTGTTCTTTTAAAGTCTTACATGCCTTTGCACACACAATCCAGTATAATGACAACAAAAACCTGTGTGTGTCCATGTCTAAATTCTTCTTTAAAGGCAGAGAAGAAACTGAAATATTCATAGGAACTAGAGAATGATGGGGAAGCCCTATGAAAATATACACAGAACAAAGTTGAGGCAGGGGATTTAGTGCCGATATATCCATACAATTCAAATCATTGCTGACTTGATGCCTGTGTCATGGCTGTGTCTTTCCTATAGACATAAAAATCAGGCTGTCATATGCAAACCCTGCATTCACAGACGTGATAACACAAATGACAAACTGATCAATATGACAGAAGACACTAAACAGAGTGCCACCATAAGGGAAAGGACTGTATCTTTTAATGATTGATTATATCACAAATACCTTGAAAAGTACCAACCATACAATAGTGATTCAGTAAATATTTGTTCAGTAGCTTATTGAATGAATTACAATGATTAACCAAGAAACTGCTGTGGGCAGTCAAAGCATGGTTTTCCAAAGAGAGAAAGAGAGAGAGAGAAAGCTCTCAAGAAAAGGACTTAAAGCTCTTTCAAGTGTTGTCCAAGTAAAGTAGAGCTCTGTTCACTTGCCAGCATTGTTCCAAGGAAGAGCTAAACCCTTGCAGGCACTATTGCCTATGAGTCCTGCCGCTTGCCTTCTTTTATTTGTCAGAGCATTTGGATACTTTCGAGTTTCCAAATCACTACTTCCTTTTGCTTCCTACTTAAAGAGAACCAACACAAGTCAAAACAAATTTTGGTTGGACTGAGCTAATACAGTATTTCAGCAGGAATATAAAGACCTTCCTTCTGTCTTCAGCTCCTATTTGAGATTATTCCCATCTATTTCTTTTTCCCTTCTGAAGCCAGTCACAAAACAAAATTGAAAAAAAAAAAAGCAGAAAGTGAGGATTGTATGGAACTCTCAGTCCTCTCCTTCACATGCTTTGACACCTACATTGTGGGCGGGTTTTCTAGTTTTCCCTAATTCCTCTTTGATTAACCATCCATTCTTTCTTGTCTTTGATTTACTCTAGATACCTGCAGCTGAAAACAACCCTTTCCTTGTTGGCATGCACTGCTGGTATTCCAGCCATAGTCCTCGGAGTCAGTTCTGCAACGTTTGTCGACGGAGCATTCCTGCCTTATCGCGTGATGCCATCATCTGTGAAGGTACCTTTCTACTTGCTTTAGAAATTAGCAGAGCTCCCTGGATAGAGCTAGGCATGAAGAATTCCCTATGACTGACCTAATCTAAACATTAGTTTTTGTGTGAAGTTAATCCCAGTGGAGGGAAAGGAAAAAGAGAAACTAGCACGAAAGAGTGAATTAGAATGGAGAGTTGAATATAGGAAGATGGGACTAAATGGTCATAAGGATTGAGACATTACTTTTTTCCTACTATTAATTTTAATGTAAAATGGATAATAGTAAGCTTAGCTAGTAAAGAATCAAAAGGGACTGGCTCACATTAGAAGGAGGGCTTTGGAAATTGGTCAAAGCTATTTAGAAAGCACTTGAATTTTAACCTCCGGAGAAGTTTAGGCAAGGGCATTAGACTTTTCACTGTCACCAGATTCACACCTTTTTTTTTCTTCCTCTTTTTACAGTTTGCAATGTGAAATCTCACAAGTTTTGTGCCTTGAGAGCAAGTAAAGACTGCAAGTGGAATACTTTGTCCGTAACTGATGACCTCCTTCTACCTGCTGATGAAATAGTGAGTACCAGTCATACCCTTTCCCCGTGTTTTAAAGTCATGGCACACAGGAACAGAAAGAATTCTCCCTGACACTAGAAGCAAAGTAGTCTCTTTGACAGAATCAGTGACCCAAGGAATGTCAATGACTTAAAGCCCAATTCCTACCTTTTGCCAGTCACTAGCATTGAGGGCTATGGGACTTTTATGTGATTTCATGATTAGTATAATTAGTATAATTATTCCAGCTCTTTCTTCTTGCATCACTAATTTCTGTCTCTTGCCTTTTTCCACTTCAGCAAACAATGCCTCATCAGTGGGTAGAAGGAAACATACCTGCCAACTCTCAGTGTGCAGTATGTCATGAGAGCTGTGGTAGTCATCAAAGACTTCAAGATTTCCGCTGTCTCTGGTGTGACTCTACGGTAAGACTCTTTTCATATCTTTGATATTTAAATTTATTTCTAGACAAGGGGTAGATTGGAGCGTGTCTGTAACTGTACAAGGATAAATAGATAAGGAGATATATATCTCAGAGACCCTTACACCAAAATGCATTATACAGATTCCATAGTGGAGAGCCTAGTAACTTGGCCTTTCATATAGTCTTTGAGGGAAAGATTTAAGGTGCTCATAATCTGATGCTTCTAAATTGATAAAGCAATATTGGAAATGAGAAAAGGGTGAATTCTAAAATGGCAATATGAGCAATTAGAAATAAATTCTGGAGTCTATCCTTAAGAAAGATTTCCCACTCATTCATTATTATTGTAAAAACACAGTCTTTATTAATGGTTAATAATAATATTAAATTATCATTGCCACTACAGATTGAATATCTTCTATTCATGATCTCAATTCTTAGAACAACATTGAACTAAGCCTCCTTGTCCTCATTTTATAGATGAGTAATGTAAGGCTCAGAAAGGTGAACCCAAGGTCATATAGCCAGCAAAAAATAATATTGATTAATATTTAATTTTGATAAGACCATGTTCCTACCTACAATAGTACCATGTCTATTGAAACAATGAACCACAAATGAGGATAATTTTTGCTCTAGAAGATATTTGACAATATCTGGAGCTGTTTTTCATGCCCAAAACAGAACTGGACAGGAAATGTACAACTGGTATCTAATAGAGTATTTAAAACTTAAAATGAACAGGGTAGTTTCCTGTAATGAGGAACTATCTGGGCCAAAATATTTATTGATACCACAGAAATTAAGAGACTCTGATCTCAACTATTTAAGCTGTTAGATGTTTCACTCAAACTGAGATTTTTAAGGAAAGAAGCAACCAAAATTAGCTTCTTCACTAAAGTGTCTATCCACTGACCTCTTTTAATTGCTTTTGAATGGTCATGCGAGGTTCATGGCCCTAGAAACTGTAGCAGTTTAGGATGTGGTCAGAAACCTAGGAAGAATGACAACTGTGGGTGAATCTGCTTTGACACTTCCCAACTATTTGACCTTGGGTAAGACCCCTTACCTTTGTGAGCTTTCACTTAAGCTCTTTTCTAATATGAGTGCAATGATGCTTTTCTTGCCACACACAGTTGTTCTAAAAATTGAACATCAGGTTAAGACTTTTGAAATGCAACTAAGTTTCCCATTCTGCAGGCTACTAAGACTGTGTCTAAAGCCTAGTGACACCTCAGTATCTGTAGATGGGAATCTGCAGAAAGACACCTTTCAAAGAGTCACAGTTCTCTGCTCTCAGGGATACTGCAGTTTACAGTAGAATGGGGTGGGGTGGAGTCAGGCCAGTTAAGGTTTATGTACATAGTACCAGAAAGGGAGATTTGATACATTAAAGATCTAACTCTTGGGATAGAAACAAAAACTAATCAATGTCCTTCTCTTCTCTCCCCCTCCTATTTCTTTTGTGCTCTTATCGTTCCAGGTGCACAGTTCATGCCAGAGGTGGTTTTCCAAGGAATGTTCCTTTGGAAGTCTTCGCTCAGCAATCGTTCCGCCGACTGCTTTGAGCGATCCGATGGGTGACGGTGAGTAGGTTGACTTTTTCTTCAGAAACTCACTGGGGAGGGAAGGAAGGTATAAAGGCTGGGAGGAAGAGAAATAATTCTCCAAAACTAGTACAGTATTTAGGGAAGAATGGAAATTTGATTGTGTGCATCAAAGAGCTGACTGTGATCTTTGAACTGTGTAGTGGTGAACATTATGTTTTGGTGTATGTGTTCATGTGTATAAGCATGTTCTCTGTAGACTGTCACTATTCTGACTGTGCAAAATTAATTTCCGTTTTCTTAATGATTTTCAAATACTACTTAATCTGTGAAGTAAATCTTGCCCCCCCAATGGTTCAAAAACTATCAAAAGCCTAGGTTATATTCCATTTAAAATGCTAACTAACAACTGAATTGTCACCAAATCGAACACTACCATGTGTTATTGCTGCAGCACTGATACTGATACTGATACTGATACTGATACTGATACTGATACTGATACTGATACTGATACTCTTCACTGATACTGTCATTTCCTGGACAACAGTATTTACTGAAAGTTCTTTTTCGCAAGGTATTTGAAATATACAAAGAGAGATCTAAAGACAGACATTTGTAGAGCAAGTGATCATGATGAATCCATTGTCTTGGCAAAACACAACAATGAAACAATTGAATGGAGCACATCTTAAGTATCAAAGAGATAATAGAGACACTTGGATGTTAAGTAAGTGTTCGAAATGTTGACGAAAATATGGGTGCAGGCAGACCTGAGGCTGTTGAATGAGCCATTCCATGAGGTTTCTGAAGGCAAGTGCAAACACATGTCTCATAGTGCCATATAAAGACACAAAGCTAAATTCACTCAGAGGTGCATGAATATATTATTCTCAGATCTATTCAAATATTTATCTTCATAACACCACCCACTCGATAACTTGGTCAATAAGAGATGGTTGACTGGATAGGAGAATGAAGAGGCTTGGGGAAGGTGGAACTGATATGTTAGGAAATGTAATAAGCTGAGCAAATTCAGGCTGCTCATTAAGTCAGCCTACATTTTGCTTGCATTGTTGCCATTAATTCACAAAGCCCCCCTTTCCTGAAAATAGATTCTTTCCTCATACAATGTATCCTGATTACAAGTATCCTTCCTCTACTCCTCTGAGCTTCTTCCCATCTCCTCTCCCATCTGGATCCACTGCCTTTCTGTCTCTCATTACAAAAGAACATGCTTCTAAGAGATAACAATGAAATGTACCAAAATAAAATATAATAAGATAAAACAAAATCCATCACAACAAAGTTGGATAAGATAAAACCAACTGAAGGAAAAGAACTCCAGAAGAAGGCACAAGAATCAGATACCCACTCATTCACACACTCAGGAGACCCATAAAAGCACTAAATTGAAAGCTATAATATACACACAGAGGACCTGATGCAGGCCCGTGAACATGCTGTACATGCTGCTCTGTACATTCTGTGTCCATCTCTGTGAACTCATCTAAACTTTGCTCACATTGATTTAGAGAGACATGTTCTGATACTCTCCATCCTCTCTGGCTCTTGCACTCTTTCTGTCTCCTCTTCTGAATAGTTTCTTGAACTCTGGAAGGATTTGATGGAAACATTCCATTTAGTGCTGAGTGTCCCAAGGTCTCCCACTCTTTGCATAATATCTGGCTGTGGGTCTCTACATGTGTTTCTGTCTGCTACAGGATGATGATGGTGGCGATGGTGATGATGATGATGATGGTGATGGAAGTTAACCTACTTTTAAACCTTAAGCTTCTGTATTCTGTTTCCTTCACCATTATCTGGAGATAGCGTTCTACAAAGCATTTCAACTATATATTACTGGGCATGGTAGCTATTCTTTGTGTTCAAGTCAAATATGATCTGTGGTTTCTCTACTTGCCTTATAATGTTGGCTTCTATGTATCAGCAATGTTGGTCCACTTGAGCATCACTCTGACCACCCTTCTTTCTACCATGCATTATTTAGCATGGACTTTCTCATAAAAGGCTTTAAAAAAACTCCCTTCTTGACTCTTCCTGAGCTTCTTAGCCTAGATTAATAAGCCCTTCAAGAATAGGTTTCCTTCTGAGACAATCCAGTTAAGGGAATATTCTTCTGCATTTCTTGCTCATAGAATCTTAATGATAATCTTCTCCAAACTTCTCAGCCAGGCTACAACATCCTTTCTCCAGATGCCGACCTTCGCAGCTTTTGTCAGTGCTGTTGTGCATCCATTCCTGCATTCATTGAGTCAGTCAAGAGGCTCCAATGGATGACAAGGCCTCTAATTACCCACTTCTCTTATACTTTAGGGTCCAGCTCAAATCTAGTATTGTCTTCTATTTCTTCTATAATGGCCTATTCTCACTTCCCCTAGTTAATTAAGTCCTGTGTAGTAATAATCACACAGTAGCTATTAAACAAAAATGCACACTAGATTCATCTGGAGGGTTTTATGAAAACACAGGTTTCTGGGCTCTAGCCTCAGAGGTTTTAATTCAGTACATCTAGGTGAGGCCCAATAATTTGCATTTCTGAAAAGTTCTCCAATGCTGTCTATGCTACTAGTCCCATGAACATGCTCCATCATTTACTGTGTGATCTTAGACAAGTTGCTTAACATGTTTCCATCTCATTTCTCAGTTATTTCACTATTACTGAAGTTTATTTAACAAAACATTTAATAGAAAAATGTACAAGACTTGAGTTATATGTGCTAGTAGAACAAGCCATAGCAAGGCTTTTGACACTTCCTCATATGACTACCACTCTATCATTATTCTGCTGTCCACCAGTTACTATGTTTACACTCAATGATCACAGCATTCATAAAGAGAGCAAGTTCTCAAAATATTTCCTGGACTTATCTGCTTACCACTTAGTGTCTATAAACTTCTTCAGACTTGAAGGGTGAGTTTAGCTCGTGGTGTCTCTTGTCATTTCTTTTCTACTGATAAGGGAATGATAAATACTCAGGCACATTATGAAGGTTAAATTCATTTAAACATTGTTAAAGATGACTTTACTAGTAGAAGAGGGGTAGCAATAAGCCCATCTTCTGCCAATTTAGCATCCTTCTGAAAAGTGAACACTGTGAACTGGAGTGAAATGACTGGTCCCTGAATTAGGATATGGTGACTGTACTAGTGCAGCTGGACAGAAGCATGGGCTGTTTCCCCTCACTCACTCTGTAACAATCACCCTGTTCCAGACAACCCTAGACTACCCTCTTCGGGTCTTAGCATATTTTCTTGTACCCCAAAATTCCTTCCTCCAGATATCTGAATAACTCAGTCAATCGTTTGAGTATCATATTAAATGTCACCTTCCCAGAGAATTATTCTTGAACACATTGTTTAAAAGAGCAATTCTTACTCCCCTTCTATGCGTTTTTTTTTCTCCATAACACATTACCTTTTATATTTACTTTGACTTTACTAAGCAAGAATTGCATTTTGTTCATCAATATAAATAAGAGTGGTCACAGAGAACATCCTTAATATATATTTCTTGAATAAATGCATGCATGCATGAATGACTGATTGACTGACCGAATGACTGACTTACTGAAAGAATGAATGAATGTGACAGAACTACCATTATGTAAGCATTTTACATTTCATTAAAAATTTCTGATAAGGGTATTATTGCATTTGTTCATGGAAGGTAATAACATCTAAGATATACTGCTAAGGACACACAGTAGATTCCTCTTGTGGTTGCAAGTTCTGGCAAGCCCTGAAATTTTGTAATTATTTAGGATGCCTTCAAAAAACCACGAGCTAATTAATTAGTGGGAATTAGCCCATAGAGAAAGCTGCCTTGTATTTTCCCAGGCACAACAGATGTTTTGTGTGTACCATCTGACATGGGTATGAGCCACATGATTTTTGCCCTATATATTAATTTTTTTCTGGAGCATTCCTGACATGCCATGAGTTCAGATGTTTGAAGGCCTATATTTGCTGATAATTCCTCTCTTGGAAGACTATCAGGGTCTCTCTACTTGCCAATAGGCTTTAAGACTCACCACAAACTGGCAAGATTTTGTCATTTAGACTACTATTTGGCTATAATAACCTTAATTCTTTATGGGTAACTCCAATGTTGGAGGTTACTTTTTAAAAACCCTCCCTTATTCAGACAATTTATCTGTGGGCTAATTCTGTCATGGAATTGGTGGAATAATGTAGATGGCTTCCTCTGAGCCTTAGAGATGTGATTAAAGTTCCAGGAATCATCTTGTATTGACAAATCATTCTGCTAGAAACTCTTGTTTAACTTCTGGCTTAATGCCAGTCTTTTCTTCCCTTCTCTCTCGGCCTGCTCCATTTTCACTGTGAGAACTTGGCTGGGCCAGACAGAGTGGACTACTTTGGGTGTTGATCCTCCTTTTGGGCCATCAGCCTTTTATTTTCCCATGGAGTTTTATTAATCTTTGGCTGTTGCAGCAATTTGTTTATTAATTGTCTTCCAACATATTTAGTTGTATATATGTCCATCTCCCTGGCTCGAGGTCCAAGGCTAGATCACTAACAATATCTAACATGATATCTGGTACATAATAATTTGTCAGAAAAATGAATGGGGAAGAGCTGAAAATAGCTTTTGATGAGATTCTAACTTTTCCTCTACTCCTTAACAGCAAAGATTGAGGCTTGTAATCAGAAAGTCTCTGTAAAGTGTGATGCCAAACCACATCTCATCTCAATTGCTCTTTTTTTTTCCTTTGTGTGTCTTTCAGGCCAATTAGTTGTATCATCTGACTTCTGGAATCTTGATTGGCCATTGACATGTTCCTGTCCCTTGCTCATCTTCATCAACTCTAAGAGTGGAGATCATCAAGGGATCATCTTTCTCCGAAAATTCAAACAATATCTGAATCCATCTCAAGTATTTGACCTGTCGAAGGGTGGACCTGAAGCAGGGTAAGCATGGGATAAGGGGTATGGTTGGTCATAAAGAACAGTCTATGCCCCCCCGTACATTCTAACCTAGAATAGATGTCTGGAATTACTTCTTGTACCCAGCCAAATAAACAAATACATAACTCAGGAACATTTTTACCATTGAGCCCTCTCCCAGAAATCTTTTCAATCTCTTTTTCTGTTTCCAAACTTGCTTGATATTTTCTGATTGGCAAGACAGGAAACTATGCCCTTGGACATCAGAGGAAGAAGCAAATGGCCATCACTACAGACTTGTTTTAGTATGGGATCATTCCTGTGAGCCACTGACAACTGTGCAAAGGATTCTTCCTGGGCTTTAACAGATGGCTAAGTTATTAGTGGCTCCCAGAGAAAGGCTAAGGACAAAATAATATTATTTGATGAAAGGTCTGTTTTCTGAGATTGCCTTGTGAAGTTATTATCACAGTTATACACAGAGAGTTGGGTGTGGTGGCGCACACCTTAGATCCCAGTACTCAGAGAGGCAGAAGCAGGTGGATATCTTTGAGTTTGAGGTCAACTTGGTCTACAAAGTGAGTCCAGGACAGCCAAGACTACACAGAGAAACCCTGTCTCAAAAAACAAAGCCCATCCCCCCAAAACAAATACATACAGAGCTAGAGGCTAATGCAAAGGGAAGGCTGATGGCCTCGTAGAAAGATACTAAAGCAAGGATATTAGGTCTTCACATACTGTAAGAAATAGTTATAAATTCCAGCTAGTCACAACAATTATTTTATTTTCCCCTTTCTTGTAGCATTGCTATGTTCAAGAACTTTGCTCGTTTTCGTGTTCTGGTTTGTGGTGGAGATGGCAGTGTAAGCTGGGTCTTGTCTACGATTGATGCCTTTGAATTGCACGATAGGGTAAGTCCCTGGCTATGTTAACTTAACTGTTGCTAGAGTAGGGGATGTAGAACTGACTGTCATAAGAAGTCCCAGGTCTGTACTCCTATCTCTAAGCATGTCTTCCACAAGCTTAATTGTTAATGTGATCAATCTAAACATACTCCCTTAAGACTATTCTCTAGTTGAATCTGGATGAAGGAGGAACAAAGGAATGGACAAAAAGAATGAGCATTCTCTAGATTTCAAAGTAAAGAGAAAAATATCCAATTTACTTTTCCTTGTGAGGGTAATGACTTTCTTTTCTGAGTCTCTACAGGGGAATAAACTTTCTCCATCTCTAGGCAGCCCCTTGTTCTTCTGCATCCAGAATCTTTGTCTCTATAGACACCCCCCCCAGCTAAGCCATATCAAGTAGAAATGATGGTTATATGCTTCATTTATAGAGGAAGGGAGGGATTGGGACAGGAGGAGGGAGGGAACCACAGGGGGGATACAAAGTGAATAAAGTGTAACTAATAAAAAAAAATGGTGTCCAATTCTTTTGAGAAAATATCATCCAACTCCAATTACCCTCTTACTACACTTTCTAGAGAGAAATTCTTTAAAGCCACTGGCTATAAGGCTTATTCCTTCCAAAAGAGCACCCTCAGAGTCTTTCATTGAGTAAAACATGTTGGAAGGTCTGTCTCAAAAGAATATCTCTTTTTGTTTTTTCAGTGTCAGCTGGCAGTCATCCCACTTGGAACTGGTAATGATCTGGCACGTGTCCTTGGCTGGGGAGCATTCTGGAACAAAAACAAATCACTACTGGATATTCTCAACAGAGTAGATCAGGCTCACGTGAGGATTTTAGACAGGTGAGTGGCCAAAAGGCTGTGTCTTTGTGCGTCTTCCATTTATATCATCTCCGGAGCCCAGCCCTCTCTGCAGTACCACTTCTCTTGTGGTGTCAGTGCAGCCTTACTTGGAAGAGATTGTCTATTGAGAAACCAGAAAGGCATAATTCCCTCAAATGTTGAGGAAGTTCCTCTACCCACCTTCTCAAAGACCCTAGAGCAGGGGCTTCCTGGATGCATTTCAAAGGTTTGCTCAGTGTCCTTCAATTACTGGTCCAGTGAAAGTATGCTTATTCTTGTGAAAGAATCTATAGTATTATCGGGCTCCCAGAGAACCTTTAAAAAAGAGTGGGGGCAGGGATTCAGCAACAACTGGTATATATTTCCTCCATTCCATAGAATAGAGAAATTGTCATCCTATATCCTGACAAACATAACTTTTGTAGTGAGGTGTGCGTTTTCAAGATAGAAATCTTGAATCATAGCAAAAATTCTTATTCAATAGATCTTGGGCAAGGCTCTGGTATAAATATTTCATTAAAGTATTTCTGATGCTCATGATGCTACCTCCGGTTGATTTCTGAGAGTCCTGAGAAAAATATTCCTTCCATCAAACTAACCTAAGGATGTCATGAAGCAGAATTTTTTCTTTTTCTTGTGTATACTGTAAGATTGGATATACTGACTGAGCATATCCTGTAGCCCACATCCCCCAAAACATGGACATTTTGAACTTTCTTGTAACTATGAAGCATTGATTTCACTTGTAATTAACAGAGACAAATTAACATTTGTGTTTAAACTTTATTGTAGATGGAGTGTGATGATCCGTGAGACCCCCAGACAAGCACCACTGCTAAAAGGACAGGTGGAGATGGATATACCAAGATTTGAGGTGATTATTTTTCAGCTATTTTTTCAGAGCAACAATTTTATCACAAGTGAAATGCAAGGCAAATCCTAGAAAGGGCATGTAGTATTTCCATGGACTTGATCTCACGAGATCTCTGAGAACTAGAGACATGAGTCAGCAGCTATTTGCTACAAATCTGTAGGCATTCGGGATATAAGTAATTTTAGTCATTTATTCATTAATTCACTCAAAAATATTTAGTACGAAATGTTCTTATACACTAGTGGATAAAGAAGAAGACTACTTGTTGTAGGGCCCAGAGTCTATATAGAGGAAGAAAAGGTAAAGTTTTAATAAAGTACTTCATGGATACTGTATGTCACTTTTTGAGGTGTTATGGAAAACATCCAGAATGAGTGTCATTTCAGTAAAGACTCAAGGAATAGCAATAAGAAAGAGAAAAGGACAAAGAAGATCTGTCTCAGTCAGGATTCCATTGCTGTGAAGACATGCCATGACCCAAGGCAACTCTTATATAAGAAAGCACTTCATTGATGCTGGTTTACAGTTTCAGAGACTTAGTCCATTATCATCATGGCAGGAAGCATGGTGGCACATAGGCAGGCATGGTAGCTGAGAATTCTACATCCAGATCTGCAGGCAGCAGGGAGAGAGACAAAGAGACAGACAGAGATAGAGGCTGGGACTGGCTTGGACTTTTGAAACCTCAAAGCCAGTGACATACCTCCCCTAACAAGGCCACACCTCCTAAATCTTTCAAATAGTGCCACTTCCTAAGCATTTAAATATATGAACCTATGGGGGCATTCTTATTCAAACCACCACAAGGCCTGTTTTTATACTGTTCCAAAGACAAGAAAGGTTGTGTAATATTAGTAGAACAAGAACACATTCATATTGTTCAGGGCATGGCAGCCAGGGCTGGAACATACAAAATGAGAGAGTGAAAAAATAAACAGGGACCAATCCAGAAAAAGCGAGTAAAGCATGGTAGGAAATTTGAACTTTTATTCTAAGAACAATGAGAATTCTAGAAGAGTTTGGAAGATTTTTTTTTTTTGCATGTATGGGAGATAGGTATACATGTACACAGCACACAGTGTGGTTAGAGGCCAGAGGACAACTCTTGATATGAGCCCTTAGGCACCTTCCACCTTTTCATTACAGACATAGGATCTCTCATTGGCCTGGAATGTCACAGTGTAAGCAAGGCTAGATCGCTGACAAGATTCCATGGATCTGCCGGTCTCTGCCTTCTGTCTCACAATCAGTGATGTTACAGCTGTATACCACTGTGCTGGGCTTTTTATATGGGTCGTGGGGAGAAAAACTCTGGTCCTAATTCTTTCTATTCAAGTTCTTTACCAACTGAGCCATCTCCCCAGCCCAAGTCCTTTTTTCTGTCTTACCTCATTATACAATCTTCCAAACATACTGGGAAGTTGAAACATGAATGTCTACCATTAACATCTCATTATATTATATTATAACATATAATATATATTATATTATATTGTAACATCTCATAACCAAACAACTTCCTATTGTTGAGCACTACCCATGGTACATGAGAAGGTGACTCAGAACTAAAGATCAGAGGCAGGGGAAAAACTTGGGAGATGCTGACATCATTAGTCAGAATAGAGATAATGGCGATTTAGATTTGTGAATCGGTAACAGAACTGGACAGACTTGGAACACACCGAGAGGGTCTAAACATAAGCTAGGATTTATAGGTGGAGATGTTTGAACTTGGCAGTGATAGCAAGGAATAGAACTTGTAATTATGAACACAGACTCAAGAGTCAAAGATTACCTGGAATTGAATCTAAGTTCTGCTACATAATGATTCCTTTCCTGTGCCTGAGTTTTTCTCTTTTGTGAAATAGGCACATAAGTAATCGTTATGTCTCAGGATAGATATTGAGAGTACATAAGGTGATATATACATATAACTTAGAACACAGCCAGTCACATACTCTGTACTATATAGAGTGGAAGTTGTATTGTTAGTAAACTTACTTAAAAAGTAACTTTCTAGTATCGCAAAGTTATTAATCAGAATCACAGATCTATTATTTACTTTTTATATAATGAGATTTTTTTTCGTGGTGTCTCTTGTTTTCAGAAAGATTTTTAGATCCCAGATCATCTTTAGGTAGCTTTAAGAACAATTCTTTGAGTTTATGTCCAGAAAGGCAGAGTTGAGTTTCTGGTAAAGAGTGAGAAAGAAATGATGAGACTGGCGGTGTGGAGCGGGTCAGTGGAGCATGCTACCTCCCAGCGCTGAGCTTTTGAGACTGAACACTCTGTTTCCCCCTAGGCTGCTGCCATCCAGCACTTAGAGTCTGCGACCACTGAGTTGAACAAAATCCTGAAGGCCGAATATCCCACTGAAATGATCATCGCCACTAGGTCAGTCTTCCTTTTGTTCTCATCCTTTGGGGCTATTGTAGGCTGTTCTGAAGTGATATATGGGGCTCACTTTGACAGCCTGGGATTTCAAGGCCAAGGAGAGTATGCGTTTATCTTTTCTGCTCATTGTCACTTAACTCAATTTTCCTGAGTGAAAAGTTTAAGGGAAAAAAAAATGAGACTGGAGTGAGGAGTCGTGCTGCTCAAAACATAGAATTGTAAGGATTAATGGAGAGAAGGCTACAGACGGGACACACAATATTCTAGATAATCCAACAGTGCAGACACCTTATTTTCTATTTCTGGCACTGGAGAAGGTCTCTTCAGTGCTTGCTAGTGCCTTCTTGCTTGCTTTTTATTTTTAAATTTTTATTTTTTTGTCAACGTAAAATCTGTTCATTCTTATGGGTTACATACCCTAAGCACCCATGTCAAGGTCAAAACTCCTCTCTGTGACTTTGCATACCCGTAACTTAATTATTCCCAAATTTTAACAACAGTTTAAAACAGGCAGTAGCATATAACATGCATTTGTTGTATAAAATGTATGATTCACTTAACACCATGTCTTGGGAACCATTTCTTGTCCACACATCAGGATTTTTCTCATTAAAATTTTATTTTTGAAATTTTCACACAGGTATGCACACAAAGAAATATAATAAGACCTACCCCTATTTCCCCCTCCATAGACCCTCAGGTCCTCCCAATACTACCCCAAATATATGTCTTTATTTTTTGATAACTAAATTTAGTTAATACTTGATTTGCTGCTTTTAAACTTCTTGAGTTCTTCATATATACTGGTTATTAGCCCTCTGTCAGATATAGGATTGGTGAAGATATTTTCCCAGTCTGTAGGCTGTCGTTTTGTTCTGATGACAGTGCCCTTTGCTTTACAGAAGCTTTTCAGTTTCATAAGGTCCCATTTATTGATTGTTGATCTTAGAGCCTGTGCTGTTGGTATTCTGTTCAGGAAGTTCTCTCCTGTGCCAATGAGTTCAAGGCTCTTCCTCACTTTTTCTTCTAACAGGTTTAGTGTGTCTGTTTTTTTATTGAGGTCTTTGATCCACTTGGACTTTAGTTTTTTGCAGGGAGATAAGTATGGATCTATTTGCATTTTTCTACCTGTAGACATCCAGTTAGACCAGCACCATTTGTTGAAGATACTATCTTTTTTTCCATTGCATAGTTTTGGCATCTTTGTCAAAAATCAGGTGGATTTATTTCAGGGTCTACTATTCGATTCCATTGATCCACCAGCCGGTTTCTATGCCAGTTCCATACAGTTTTTAGTATTGTTGCTCTATAGTACAGCTTAAGATTAGGTTGTATTTTTCCTTTTAGTATCTTCTGTAAGGCTGGATTTGTGAACAGGTATTGTTTAAATTTGGTTTTGTGATTGAATATCTTGTTTTCTCCATCTATGATGATTGAGAGTTTTGCTGGGTATAGTAGCCTGGGCTGACATCTGTGTTCTCTTAGGGTTTGCATGATATCTGTTCAGGCACTTCTGGCTTTCATAGTCTCTGCTGAGAAGTCAGGTGTGATTCCAATGGGTTTGCCATTATATGTTATTTGGACTTTTTCCCTTGCAGCTTTTAGTATTTTTTCATTTTTTCTGTACACTTACTCTTTTGATTATTATGTGGTGGGATGATTTTCTTTTCTGGTCTAATTTATTAGGTATTCTGTAGATCTCTTGTATGCTTATAGGCCTCTCCTTTAAAGTGGGAAATTTTCTTCTATGATTTTGTTGAAAATATTTTCTGAACCATGGATACAGGAATCTTCTTTTTCCTCTATTTTATTATTCTTTTCATGTTGTCTTGGATGGTTTGTATCAGGAATTTTTTAGATTTAACATTTTCTTTGACAGATACATCAATTTCTTCCATTGTATTTTCCACCCCTGAGATTCTTTTTTTCCATTTCTTGTAGTCTGTTGGTTATGCTTACCTCTGTAGTTCCTGTTTTCTTCCCTAAGTTCTTCTCCATGATTTCCTCTCTGTGTGTTTTCTTTAATTTTTCCAATTCTGTTTTCAGATCTTCAACCATTATGTTGATTTTCTTCACCTGTCTGACTGTATTTTCCTGCTTTTCCGTCAATTCTTTCACCTGTTTGTTTGAACATTCCTCTGTTTCTTTTATTTCTTTCAGTGATTTAATTATTTCCTCTCTGAAGGCCACAAACTGTTTGGCTGCATCTTCCTGTATTTCTTTATGGATGGCCATAATCTGTTTGAATTTATCTTCCTCTATTTCTTTATGGATGGCCCTAATCTGTTTGACTTTATCTTCCTCTATTTCTTTAAGCATATTATTTGTTTCCTTCACTATCCTCTTCATATGCATAGATGTAAGGTCGTCTTCTTGAATTTCACTTATGATAAGGTGTCTAGGGCTACTTGCTTCTGGATAACTGAGTTCTGGAGATGTATATTGCTTTGGCTTTTGTTGGTTGTGCTATTATCCTGGCATCTACTCATATGGCTATCTCAGGTGTTGGCTGATAGTTTCTGATACCTCCTGGAATCCTGGGGTGGAGAGAATCCCCTTGGCAGGAAGATAGTTGTTCCTGAAGGAGGCCTCCTCAGCTTTTTGTGTATGGTCACCGAATGCCTGGTGCTTCTCAGGAATTGTCACAGCTCATCTCAGGTGTATGGACTTGTGTGATAACTGTGGTCGTTGGTAGTCAGGGGGGCTCTCCTCTCACCAGGAGAAGTCCTGGAACTAGCTGCCCTGCACTGGATTTCTTGCTCTGAATTTAGTGACCTGCTGCTGTTGCTCTTACACAGTGTTTGCTGGGCTCAGCCCTCTTGAAGAACCAGAGAGCCCTGTGGTTTGGTCAGTTTAGCTAGGGAGACAGGCTGCACCTTGGAGCAGTGTCTGGGGGTTGATCTCATGTATCCCTGGCTTCTATAGGTCTGTGATTGGAGCTCTGTGCCCCAGTACCCAAGCAGTAATCAGTGGCATGTGAGGTCATCAGTCCTGGGTGTGGCAGGAGGCAAGAGTCTGGAGCCTGTGGGAATCCAGGGACTTTTCCAAAGATTAGCTGGGTGTCCTGAGGTCAGGCCTGATGTTTCCCTCACCATGGGGTTTCCTCCCAATAGGGAGACCCAGTCTGTGGTGTTTGGGGGTCCACAGTTCAGCCTAGGATGATGAGTAGAGCACACAGGCACAAGCAAATAGCACTGCCCTGGTGACTGGGCGCCTGCAGCAACCCAGGAACTTTTTCCGAGAACGTTTTGGGTGTGTGGGTAGGTTCGGCTGAGTGACCTGAGGAGAGAACTGATGTTTTCTTCACTGTGGGGATTTATCTTGACTAGAAAAGCCAGTCTCTAGTGTTGTAGTGCTCACAGTTCAGTCTGGGATGGTGATCAGAGCATGCAGGTATGTGGCTCTGGGTTTGTGGCCAATCGCCTGCAGGAACTGGGGAACTCTTCTGGGGTTTAGCTGGGTGACCAGAGAATGGACCCATTGCTTCCCACACCATGGGCTTTCCTCTCACCTGGAAACACAATGACTGGAGTTCCATCTGTTGGTAGCTGTGCAGTGACTGCTGTCCTGCTCGTCAGACACAGTGTACCCTAAGATAATGTTTGTTGTTGATAGGTGTATTGCAGGTGTATTTCTTGGATGCATGAAAATGATTATCCTAATTTATAAGTGAATCTGTTACTCTGTTGTCTTTTTATTGGGTGATTAAGACAATTAATATGTAGTTATTATTGTAATATGTGTAAATTCCTATCTTTTGTGTATTTTGTGATGTTTACTTAGACTTCTTTTGATCCCAGTATTGTTTATTCCCTGTGACCTCTTTAGTATGTTTACTCTTTTGTTTAGAGTAAATTATTCCTTCCAATATCCTCTGTCGAGTCAGTTTAGTGATTAAAAATTTGTTCAATCTGTTTTTTATCATAGAATACTTTCATTTCCCCCTCAATTTTAATAGATAGTTTTGGTAGTTATAATAAGGGTAACAGTTTTGATCTTTTACACCTTGGGATACATTTCCAGGCACTCTGGCTTTAAATGTCAAATAATCAGGTACTATTCTGATGATCCCACTTTTATAAGTGCCTTGACCTTTCTCTCTTGCAGATACACTTTAAATATCCTTTATTCTGTTATTTTCTTAATTTATTTATTTATTTATTTACTTTACACTCTGACTGGAACTTCCACTTCCTCCTCTCTTCCCAGTCCCTTCTTCTCATATCCTCTCTCCTTGCTCTATGCCTCCTCTCTTTTCATAGATATGGAGCCCTCCCATGGATATTAACATGTCTTAGCATATAAAGTAGGACTGGGCACATCTTTTTCTACCGAGGCTAGACAAGGCAGTCCAGTTAGAGGAAAGGGATCCAGGGGCAGGCAACAGAGTCATAGGCAGCCCCTGATACTGCTGTTAGGGCTCTCACATAAGGACTAAGCTGTACATCTGTTACATATGTGTCAGGGCCTAGGTTCATCTCATGGACATCTCTGGTTGGTGGTCTCTGCCAGGCCCTATGGGTCCAAGTTAGTTGAATTTGTAGGTGTTCTTGCAGTGTCCTTGATCTTTTTCTGTCTTTCAATTTTTCCTCTCGCTCTTCCATAAGACTCCCAGAGCTTTGACAAATGTTTGGCTGTCGGTCTCTGAATCTGTTTTCATCAGCTGCTAGGGAAACACACTCAGATGACAATTATGCTAGCCTCCTGTCTGCAAGTATAGCAGAATATTGTTAATAGTGTCAGGGGTGGGTTCTCTCATGGCATGCGACTCAAATGGGGCCAGTCATTGGTAGACAGGGTAGAAGGTATTATGGGAGGGTTGGTGTCATCCTCCCTCCACTTGAAGTTCCACCTGGCTACCTGAGGTGGCCACTTCAGGCTCCATATCCCTCACTGCTAGGAGTCTCAGCTAGGGTCACTCCTATAGATGCCTGGGTGGCAGCAACCCTCCAGGGATGCAAGCAGAGCTGTGGGCCAAGAATGGAGGGCACTGGTGATAG